TTTTTTGGTTTTTCTCCGGTACCGGGAACCGAACTCACGACCTTGCGCTTGCCAGGCAAACGCTTTTGCCGCTGAGCTAAATCCCCGGCCCCTCTGGGCCATCTTTGACTGCAGCACAGGGATAGGAAGTAAACTCAGTACAACTGAGAAGGTTGGTTATGACTTCTTATCTGTGGCTCCTTTTCAACTAAGCAGAGTCACAGACTAATGTTCACATACAGAGGGTCCCTCAGTCAGCAAGTGCCACCTTTTTTCCCTCCCATGGTCCCCTGGGAACATAAAGGAAGCTGAGGAGGGGAGGCTGCCAGGAAGAAGTGATCATCAAGGTAGAGCAGAAACAAGGGAAAACATCACTCCAGAGCAAAGAAATGTCACGGACAAGGACTCCGGGGGCGCTTTAGGGTACTCAGAGCCATCCACCAGGTATGTGTGTGGCTGGTCAGGTGCAGAAGGGTAATGGAATTTGGAACTGGAGAAAGAGATGGGGACAAGAATACTCATTTCCAGTACTCCCGTGCTTGGCTTGGGATAGGGTATAAAAAGCTAATACAGCAGGGTTATAAAGATGTTTGGACACATACTTTGCTTTATTTGTTACCATATTTTTGGTTATTGCCATAGTGCTGGGTACATGAAAGACACTGAATAAGCATCTGTAAGACAAACACATGAATAAATGAATGAATAAATGAATGAATGAATGAATGAATGAATGAAGCAAGCAATGACATGGCCACTTAAAGAGAAAGAGGGAGAAGGAAAAAAGAAGTCAGTGGTGCTGAGGCAGAGAACATAAACTTTAGACAAAAGCTCTTGGGGAAGGATATACCAAATAAGATGATAGGAATTCAACAATGGTAATTTTTTTGTTTTTATTTTTTATTCTCTTTAGTGGTTTGATCCATCTTGCATTCTTACATCTGGTAATCTGACCACCTTCGATGAAGATAACAATATGTAATATAACAACCACGCTTAACCCTTCTCATTTTGTTCTGAAACCCTGTATCACTCTTGTTTTTGCTCTGTTTCGTTTTTGTCTATGTGGTTGGCATTTTGCTATTGTTTCTTTTTCTTTTTCAATTCTCTTTAAAATAAAAACAAAGCTCTTGGGGAAGAGGCTTATTTTTCTGTCTTTTCAAATTAAAGAAGGCTGCTGAGTTTCCAGGGAAGACCTTCACTGTGGCTGTGCAGTTAGTCACTCTGTAGTAGGAATGGGGATGTTTCTGCCTCTGATGCAATCAGCTCTGAAGCTTTCATAGCACGTCGTGTTGGGCAAGCAGGCTGCAGTGGAGAGTCCGGGCAGGGCTGCCGGCTCAGGGAAGAGGCCCAGACTGATTGCAAGAGGCAAACCCGAGCAGGGAAATGGCCATGATATTTCCCAACGCTTGTGGGACATGTCCCCAGGTAGGAGCCTTTGGACTTGCAGGAGGCATTTAATGGGGACAGATCATAACATTTGGCTTGCTCAGAATGGAAAGCTGAGGGCTGTCAGAGCGGAGGAGAACCTTTCCTACCACAGCTGAGCAGTGTCAGGCCACGTGCTTCCTGCCCACTCCTGCTGGGGGCTGAGCGTTTGCTTAGTAGGTGAAGGCAGGGTGTGGGCATGCGCCAGCTGTAGGTCTGGGCCTTCGAAAGGCAGGCAGCCCTGCTGTGCAGGGTCCATGGTGCTCTCTTCCCACCAGGCCCCCAGGAAGAAAACTGCAGCTTCACTGAACTGCAGCATCAACTTCACCTGGGAGAGACGAGGTTTTGAAACCAAGTCATGGGCCCCTCCTGGAGCTTCATTCCTTTGGGGAGATGTGCTCCTCCATACCCAGATGCAGATTTACAGTGAAGCTTAACAGAGCTCATGCCTTGAAGGGCTCCCTTGCACAGCCCTTT